CAACTGGCAGGCTTGGAGGAGGTCGGGTGGCCACCCGGTGGGACGGGTGCCTCAGTGAGCCCTGGTGCTGGGCGGCAGCCCTGCAGCATCACCTGCGGACACCTGTATTTTATTTTTTAAGAAGAACGCCTGGTGTGACTTAAAGGCATCCAGTGATGGAAACGTCCAGCTCCAGGCTCCCCGCGGCCGCCGGACGAGCCTCCTCTCGCAGAGCTGCGCAGGGGTGGCTGGCGCCGGGTGGCAGCCGCTCGCTCGCCCACACGTGCTGCCGGTGCCGGGCTGCGGCACCGACACGGTTAAGACGCTGGTGGGATCGGGAGCCGGGCTGCACGCCACGGCTGCACGCCACCACGGAGCCAAACTTGCCGAGTCAGGATGTGAGAGCGGCAGGGACGGCTCTGCAGCGTCCCTGGGTGCTGCCGCATCCCAGGGTGCGGGGGGCTCGGCTTCCCCTTCTCCGCCAGACACCCTTTCCCAGGGACGGAGCGGGAATGGGGTAGGAACCGGCACCTGCTGTGTTTGCCTCCGGCTGTTGCAGCTGCTCTGCACCGGCACCAGCGCTGCTTCCCGAAACCCGCAGAGCCTCCAGCTCTGGCGGCAGCTGGGGTTTTTATCTCATTTTTTTTGCCTCCTGACCGCGCATCTCTGTTAGAGCACCGGCGCCAGGTAGGTGGGGTGCTGGGGTGGTCGGCAGCGCCGGCGGGTCTGCGGTGCCGGGGCGGTGGCCCAGCCATGCCTGGAGCCTGGCCCCCGGCTCGCTGGGGAAGGGGCGCGCGCCGGCGGTGCTGCACATGGGGGCCTGCAGGTGCTCGGTGGCCTGACAGACCCCATTGCTTTCGTGCTGGTGTACGTGACGGCTGAAGCAGGAATAGCCCCGTCTGACGCGTCGCGTGTGGTTTTGGGCTGTGTCATTGACTCAGGGAGCCGAGCAGCGCCGGGTCCCTGCGCTTTGGCGTGCACAGCACCATCACGGGCGACCTCACGTGTCGCAGCAAAATCCCCAACGCCTGCCTTGTTCATTGTCCTAATGACCGGCTTGTAAACACGGCCGAGCCCCCCAGCCGCGGTCAGAGGGAGCCCGCGCCGCGATGGCAGGCTGGGGGAACGCTGCGCTGCAGCAGAGCCTTCCTGGGCAGAGGGAAGGGGCAGGGCTGCTGCCCTGCGGATCCCTGCAGCGCCGGTGCTGCGGGCGGGGGGCCGGGAGTGGCCGGGGGGTGCACGGGACCCAGCGCCGGGCACAGACAGAGAGGTGACGGCAGGAGGTGCCCGGTGGAAGCCATTGGCAAGGCAGAGCAGGGCGGTGTGAGTAACTGTGCTAAAGTCACCTCTCCCGTGGTGTGTTGGGGGGGGCAATCTGCTGAGGGTGCTCTTTGCAAACCTGGTAAAAAAGGGGTAGCAGTACGGGGACACGTACCCGGAGTGGGGAGGTGTTGGGCGCCGTCTCCCCTGCGTCCCTCACCTGAGCAGCTGGGAGGGACGCTGGGGTGCCCGGGGCAGGGGTCCTGCAGCTCCCCCACCCCAGCGCCTCACCCTTGGGGGCTCAGGCTCATCAGTAGGTGCGGAGGCTTCATCTCTATATTCAAATGAATTCCGTGTGCAGTTTCACCTCCTCTTGCTCCGACGGCAGCGTGTTTGGGAGGCTGCGGTCTGCAGACCATCCCCCAGGCTGGCCCAGCAGAGCTTTGGCTCCCGGGGGCTTCCTGGCCGTAAATCCTCCCAGTGCCCCAGTGCCCATGCTCTCACGCCCCGTCGCGCTGGCCGGGGATGGGGATGGAGCCCGGTGGCAGCACAAGCTTTTGGGGTACCCTTGCACCCGGGTCCCAGGCACATCCCACAGAAGAAAACACTTTTCTTCCCTTTCCGTGCATCACCCTGCAGAAACTCCTGTGATTGCGGGCTCGCGGCTGAGTTTTGCCATGAGGAAGCTGAAGGTGAGGAGTGGTCTCGGGGAAGCACCGAACTGCTGGCATGGAGGGGACCGGGCTTTTGGCAGCACCTTTGGCTTGGAGGACCCGGTGAGGCGGGTTGACCCTGGGGGCCAGGATGCTCCGGCTCCTCGGGGCACAGAGCCCTGCCCCGTGTCCTGGCAGTCCAGCGGCACTTCCCGGCAAAGTTCCTCCAATGCCGCCAGAGAGCTGCCAGCCACCGCGCTTGGTCCCCCCAGCATCGCCATGAGGTAATAGATGAGGGGCATCGGGTCCCACTGAAAATCGTGGAGAGCTGAGCTCATCGCAGAGCTGAGCTCATCGCAGCCCAGATCCCCAGGATGCATAAACAGAGCCCGTCCTAAGCCATGCCATAAGTTTGATTCTCGGTTTGTGGCCGCGCAAGGAAGCAAGCCGCACGGCTGCCCCACTGCGGCCGGGGCAGGGGGGGTCCGGCCGTCCCTCCGGCAGGCGTCCCTCCAGCTCGCTTCAGCTTCGTTATACTGCCGCTAATTAAGTGGTGCTGGGCCAGCATGAAGCAGCTTGCAGGAGCGTGCGAGACAGTGCCCGGGTCGGTGCCTGCATTTGAACCTGCGTTGTTGCAGGCAGCTGCCCGCTGCCAGGCGAGGGCCGCAGGGAGCAGCGAAGGTGACATGAGCGGCCCCCCGGGAGAAGCCAGGGGGTCGCGATGGCTTTGGGGGCTGGGCAGGGTCCTGTGCAGTGCAACGGTGGTGCGGGGCCGCAGGGGAGCAGCTCCCTCCTGCCCTCTCAAAAATAAACCCGGCTTTATCGAGCCTGCCTGATCTCTAGCCCTGGTGCGGCTGCGGGCAAAGGGAGCCGCATTTCTGTGGCCCTCAGGGCAGGAGGGAGATGGGGCTGTGCACCGGGGGCTGCAGCGGGGCTGCAGCGGGGCCGGGGGCTGCGGTGGGCGGGCAGGCGGCTCCGCGGGGACCATGCAGGCACGCCAGGCCAGGATGCTGGAGGGATGCGGGACGTGGGATGCAGGATGCGGGCACGCCAGGCCAGGATGCAGGAGGGATGCAGGATGCGGGCACACTGTGCTGGGATGCAGAAGGGATGCAGGATGTGGGAGAGATGCAGGATGCAGGCATGCCCTACTGGGATGCAGGCGGGATGCGATACGCAGGCACGCCATGCCGGGATGCGGGCGGGATGCAGGATGCAGGCACGCCATGCCAGGATGCAGGCAGGATGCTTGCCAGGACATGAGCACGCTGTGCAAGGCCACGCTCCCGCTGTGCCCAGGGCAGCCGGGGAAGGAGCCCTGGGATCTCTCAGTCCCCATCTGGGAGAAAAAGCAGCTCATGACCTGCGGTGTAAAGATGACATTCACGGGCCTAAAAAAAGATAGGTTAAGTTTAAAAATTCGCCTCGGTTTTGTAGGGAAGTGCTGTGGTTTGCTGTGATACTGGAAACTGCTGACGGTGTTGCGGGATGGGGAGCGGGAGCAGGACCACAGCTCCCTAGGGAGTCCTGCCAGCTGCCCCCTGGCATGGGGATGGGGACAGGGAGGGTCAGGGGTGCCTGGGGGTGACCCCCCTTTCCTGCACGCCCGCTCATGCAGTCACGCGTGGGCTGCAGGAAAAGCCAAGCTATTTTCCTTTCCTTGGCTTGTCCCTTGCAGAGGGACCCTCTGGGGGCTGCTTTAAACACCAGCAAAATGTTTAATTTTTCAGGCCCACATTTCTTTACCATTTCCTGATATGCCATAAGACCCCCACGGCATGGGTCAGTGCCTCGCTGCCGCAGCTGGGTTGCCCCGTGGCGTGCCCTGCTCGCCTCCCCTGGGCAGGCAGGCGGGCAGCGAGGCGGGCAGCACGCAGCCCCGCTCTGCCCTCCCCGGCAGCCCCACAAGTTTGGGGAGAGCAACCGAGCTGGGCAGTCAGCAGCACAGGGCAGGGGCGGGATGGGTTTGGGATCAGTGCGGATCAGGGTGAGAGCCCTGGCATCTGGGGCTGGCAGGGCTGCCATGCCCTGCCTGCTCCGGCCCCAGCCGT